TTCTACTTTAAAGTGAGCCCCTCTCGGTAACTCGAGTCGTTGTGTCCTGAAGACATACCCGATTAGTCACAGCAAGACCAAACCCAAGACCAAAGCCCTTCAAACCCAGTAGACAATAGAATTGCTCAAAACAAAATAACGCAAAACTCCGTACGATGCTGGCTTCAACTGATTCCAGTTTTTCACGGTAGAAAACCGAATATATCAACTTTTGTTTTGATGTATGCTGCCCAGTTGAAATTAGCTACCTACCGCTTCGCTACCACGGAAACAACTCAGGAGAAAGAAAGAATGGTTATATAAACACAAAATGTCTGCTCAAGTTAAACGACCAACGTTGATAATAAAACCAGTGGTAATGCGAGTGAATAGTTGGTAAATTGAAACTGTGTTAGGTAATCACAATTATCGCAACCTTTGGAGACTTTTAAAGCAGCTGTGTGGCAATAGATCCCTGAAGTGTCTTGATTCTGCTGCGGACACGCTGATGCCAAGCGACACCAACAGTGTTTCGCTGACAACGATGATCAAAGACTTGAAGGTGCCTCGGATCCTTATATCGACTAGTCCAAGTCTCAAGCCCACAGATAGGACGGCCCTCCCTGTGACCTTGTACACAACCTTTCAGACGAGGGATGCTCTGTTTTGTCGCCAAAGGTGCCAAATGTTCAAGAAAGCAATTCTAGCTTTTGCAATGCGTGAAGTGACTTCAGTTTCTATGCGCCCATCGTTGCTGATGCAGGTTCCAAGGAAAGTAAATCGGTCAACTACCTCTAGTTCCGCGTTATTAAGGGTCAACGGTCACCAAGTGGTCGGTGGTCCCTAACAACACTTTGCACCTTGAAGGTGCAAAGCGCATAGCAAATAATGGGACCACTCTAGACAGGCTATTCAGGGTAGATAGTGCCACCGCGACATTGCCGGAAAGCAAGACGATATCGTACGCATAATCAAGAACAACTAGTCTTTCATCAGACAGAATCTCGACACCTACATTGTAAGATTCAGCAAGGGAACACTCCATAATAGAGTCCACGAAGAAATTGAACGAAAATGGTGAAATCGGACAACCCTGATAAACGCCACTTGTAGTCGGAAAGCTATCCGATAGGTCACTGTAGACCCTGACGGAGCCTGTCGTGTTTGAGTACATGGCAGGTTAAATGTTAATATATTTTGTGGGAACACTTTTCCGCGCAAGTATTTCGAACAGAATGAACCGATCTACTGAATTGAACGTACGCTTGAGGTCGAGGAATACAGCTATTGTCGGTTTGCGGTATGCGTGGCGCTGCTCTAGCACTTATCGCAGAGTGAATATATGGTCTATACAGCCAAGTCCTGGCTGGAGGACTGCCTACACTTCCCTAATCCGAGATTGCGATTCACATTGAGGTGACGAACGAGAACCGATGCCAGTAATTTTGTCACAACTGGGGTTAGGCTAATACCACTGAGGTCAGCACAGTCTGTGCGACTACCCTTCTTGTATATTGCCGCCATAATCGATCCACCCAAGTTAGCCGGGACACTTCCTTCCCGATATGTTCGAATAGGGAGGTCAGTGCTTTACAGAGTACCACATATCCATCCTTAAACAGTGTAGTTTGGAGGGAATCCAGGCCAGCAGCACGAAAACTATTGAGGGCTGTGATTGCGTTTCAGACCACAGCATCCGATGGAGCCTCTAGACTAACTGGCCATGACTCGTCCTGCATCGCCTGAGTAGGAACAGATAAAGGAAAGTTCCGCTTAGCGAGTCATACGCGCTCCTTATTGTGCATCAGTGCACTCGCGCTGTCTCTAATTGTCTCACTGATGCCTGGTTTCCTGGGACCGGTGGAGCGGATCAGTTGGAATAGCCTGCGACAATTGCCTGCTGCTCCTGCCTCCTCCATTTTCTGAGCCCTATTAGTCTACCAGGCTTCCTTGTCAGTACGTAGGCTCGGCTTTAGTTCGTGCCTAATAGCTCGTCTTTAGTTCGCGCCTAATAGCTCGTCTGGTCACGTTGTACTGAGACTCAGGCGGGAGGTTTCTTCATGATTCCAACAGGTTCACCGACTTCTCGGATATCCAGTGACTGGTGCGGTGACGACTGATAGTGCCACAAGCAGATGCTCCTGCGTCGTGCATGACGGTCGAGATCCTGTTCCACTGAAGCTCATTGTCATTAGGACAAGACAGCAAAAGTTCGGTACGCAGCGCATCTTGATAGGCTTGCGTGACCGAGGGCTGAGACAATTTCTCAGTTGCCAATCGATGGAGACGCATGGTGCGCTTCCCGGTAAAGTTCATGGAGAAACCACAGTGCATTAAGGTATGCTCAGAGTAGACGCAGGTATTCCAGTACGATTGACAATCCAGGATGGAACCACGCAACCTGTAACTTATGGCAATGTGAACAATTTGGGTCCATAGCTGGCCAGTGACAGGAGGATGCCAAGTGGCACTTCGGCACCCACTGTGTCTAAAAGCGGTGATACTAGGAAAAAACTCGTGCCCCGCATACAGTTGCAGCAGACGCTCGCCGTTGTCAGTCCGTTCGGAGTTAAACTCATAATTACCACCCAGCTGAGCTTCTGAAGAGCTCAGACTCCCTACTTGTGTGTTCATATCCCCTGCACTGCGTGGTAGCGGGTTCAGTTAGTGGTAGAATGTGTCCTTGGAAGCATCAGGACTAAAGTTGGTGGGAGTATAAGGGGAAATCACAAACAAACAGCGTTTTGTACTACTTCATGAATCAACCTTAGCTGATGTCCTCAAATAGGCTGTACACAAGTGGCTGTTCACCGGAATCCAATCAACCAACAATGGCTCAGTCTTGGAGCTTAAAATGATACCTACACCAGCATGACTCGTGGGTGTTGTATCCGCGTCTCCGGATGCGTGGAACCAATAACGAGAGGATAAGCCGAGCGCAGTTAATTCAACAACCCTATTAGGGTCATTGATCCTACTTTCGGACACACAACATACACCAATACCCAGTCTGTCCAAGGTGTGTGCGAGTGCAGCCTGTTGACCTGTTTGTCTTAGAGTGCGAACATTGAACGCCGCCGGGGAAACGGGACGGTTGTCGATAGGCGTCCGATGGGTGTTGTGGGAAGATGGCTGCAGATGGTTCTACTCCAGTGGCACTTCGATTGCTATCAACTAGTCTGGGAGTTATAGAAGGAAGATTAGTAATGGGGGTCGGGATGAGAGTAAGAGAAACAGGTGAAAAAGAAAGTAGGAAGCTGCCAGCAGTAGCCTAGCCATCATTGCTGAATATTCAAATCAACTTTATTGGCAAAGCTCACCCACGAAGCGGAGAAGTCCCAGTTAGTAAGATATTTTAGTCCATTCAGTTAAGGAAGGGAGGCCCGTACGGACAGTGATACAGTGATATCTGTGCATAGAGCGCAAATGGAAATTTCAGAGTTCAAATGTTCCAGTGGAAAAATATGCGAAAGTATGAACAACGTACTGCATACGGAAATGCAAAACGGAAAATAAAAGAACATCATAAACAAAATCGGGTCTAAAATGAGATGCGGAAAAACACTATCTGGGATGTCATCGATAAACGAATGAGTTTGTTAATGGTGAGCTATAGTGGGCTAGTTGTCCAGCAACTGGAAGGATCCAGCAAACGGCCTTAAACAGAAAGCTGTTTCATAAATGTTTACCTTCCAGATGAAGTTTTTACTAAAGTTATGAGACCCGTGATAGAAAATTGGTCCATTGGGGGAGGTAAAGGAGTTAATCACGACACGATCAGCGGCCCACTGGTTATCTTAGCACTGCAGGAACACACTCACTACACTTACCGACTATACAGTGAAACTGTTGTCCCAGCGAAACTTTTACTACCTGTTCAAAAACATACTTAGGTTGACTGAAGAATAGCGATTAACTGCTGTATGTACAGTCGGCAAAGAAGTGACCAGACCAATACAGGTCCATCTATATTGTTCGACGTGAATGGTGTCGTTCGGCACTAACACCGTCGGTGACTCCTTCTCAGCTCACATCTCAAAAACAATACCATCGTTTCGGGATGTGGTTTAAAACGGTAACATTAGTAAAAACGGCGGATGTTCATCTCACTCTTAGAGTATGTTAATGTAAAGTCGAATTCGACGACATCATGATGCGAGAGACTAGACTCAAATGCTAAATGTTGGTTGAGATAGAACTCCTGAAGTCTAAACGCCACTGACGCAAACTTCGTGCCTGATCCGATAAATGAATGTGAAAATGCAACCGGAGTCCAAACAACCTGGACAGCAATAAGAATGAAGGAAGCAAAAATTCGACAGGGTTGCAAATTCAGTGATGATAAATAAACCGACAGTTATATCCGCAGGATGATGAGGCGTAGAGCTGTCAGAGCAAAGAGCTCAGCGATCTGTACAGCGTGCTAACCAAGCTTTAGGTCAACATGATAGGCACGACAGCTGACAAAGTGTCAGACAAGTCGCGTGATACGATAAACGGCCCCAAACACATGCATCACAACTGAGCCACGGGGATGAGCGCAACTAGTGGCCAACGTCATGCGATGGCTTTAATGAACCGCAGGACTGTGACAGAGGGATTTCTTCCTCAAAATCTTGGCGCATCGCCTGTTAGCTTCGTGTGCAACAACAATTTGGAGACCAGCGTTTGCGCACAAATTATTAAGCAGGCACATAATGCGCCAACGCAAATGTGAGTAAGATGCTGAGGTAACAGTTGACTGTTTCCACTGCCCGCAATTATCGCGGTTGGGAGCAAAAGCCACTTGACCACACGTCCTATGTAACCGGTCAGCTAAATCAGTGATCGCCTAAATGTGCACCAGTGAGAGTGAAAACGGTACATTCGCGCAGCGCTAGTTGCTGTGCCGATTCGTTGAAAATTGTTATAATCCATAACAGTTTTCTTTCGTTTAGCAGATAAACAAATCAGACTATTCAACCCTTAAATAATCGGCTTCCCGAAGCGTGTAACACAAACGAGAAAAGCGATTAACTGACCTTGATGAGCACTAAGTAATGGATTATGACGAACACGCCAACGGAAACCAGTCCGCTGAGAACAGGAGAGATGAACCACGAGAGTACTAGAGGAGAGGAGAGAACAGAGAGATTTCACGGTACAGTTCACCCGTTATGGACGATACAGCATCGTTACCTTCTATTGAGAGACAAATTCATACAACACAGCACTGTTTCAAAGAAGAAAATGTCATGTTGATGGCTAGCAACTGATAATGAGAATCAACACCCCTTCCGTAACTTCCCCGTCACTCTCGTCTAAGGTGAATCCCCATGGATGCAGTGCAAGTTCGGGATGGTAATATCGATGTTATATTGACGATGACGATGATGGTGGTGATGATAATGAGTATACAGGTAAGAATCGTTAATAACCACAAGCAGGCTGTTATTTTCTATGCTCAAAATCAAACGCGGCTTTAGAAAACAAATCACGAAAACATTAACGGTTCGTAATAAAGGCTATCCAAAAGTGCGAAAGAATCGCAAGTTCATATATATATATATATATGTATATATATATATACTAAACAAAAGCGAAAACCCAGTAGAGACCGACGGCGCGTTTCATTTAATAAGCCTGCTTAATGGCAATGGCCAAAAAGCGCTTATTCGTACTGAATTGGCTACGAGCCCGTGACTAACAAGTGCAAATCAACCACCTGATCACGTTAATACGTGACCTAGCATGTGCTCAACCGGAGACGAAATTCTCATTGGAAACACATAAAGGAGCATGTAGATGCGATCGGTTGTGGTAACATATCTGATTAATTGTACCATTGAGCCAGTGGCCATGCATACCTCTAGTAAACTGCCGTGAAGAGCGTCGCTTGAAGCAAGTCCATGCAGGATAATGCGTTGTAAATGTCCATAAAGCGTGTATACAAGGAAACATTTCAAAAATCCCCCTTGCCATCTCTCTTCAAACAAATTTCTGATGCTCTGGCCACCGCAGAGGATAATAAACGGCGCCCTATCTGCTGCATCGAACAGGGTGGATAGAGCTTTGATGCTACTGCTCAAGCCTTCCCGTCTTCTTATTCCCCCATTTACGCTTTTTCAGCCTTACCGTCCCGTTCCAACTTCACTTTTATCCCCCTGTTTTCAACCGCCCGATTCTTAGCCCTCCCCCAACATGCTTTGCTAGACGTTTATCTTCTAATTTCAACTCACATGCAAACGCGGGGCGTCACTCCCGTCCTGTCGACAAGCCCAAGTCTAACCAAGCGGTCCATTCCAGTTCATCGGCTTCCATTTGGAGCCCTCGATCTTCCTTCAGATTGGCATGCCTCAATGTACGCACATTGCTGCAGATCGGTCAACAGGCAGCACTTGCCCGAACATTGGAGACCCTCTCGAACGACATCTGCTGCTTATTGGAGACCCGCCTGTAAGACTCGAGGTCTGTGCTCACTCTGCGATCCCATTCAGGTGACACTAGCACACTTTCTCATTGCGCCTATCCGGTACCGATGCAGCTTCGAGCACCGGCCAAGCTGGTATTGGCATTGCGCTGAGTCCGCAGGCTGAAGCTGCTCTGGTTGATTGGATTCCAACCAGTAGCCGGATGTGTGCGGTCCGATTGGCTGGCTCGTTCAAAGCTTCGAAGTCGCGCTGGACTAATAGGTGTCTATTCATCATCGCTACCTACGCGCCCACAAACTGTACTGATGCTTCCGTAAAAGACGACTTTTACCGCCAACTGACCCAGCTCCTTCTCCACAGAAGAAGCACGGACACTGTTGTGCTGGCTGGGGATCTGAACGCACAAGTTGGAAAGTTGTCCACTGATGAAATGCATCTGGGTGGTCAGCACGGTGTAGGCTCCCGTAATGATAACGATGAGCGGTTACTTCATTTGTGTGAAGATGCTCGCTTATTTCTTGCGAGTACTAACTTCCGACACAGCACCCGCCGGAGGGTGACTTGGCGTCCACCAGCCTCGAACCAGCTTTGGACGCAGATCGATCACATTGCTATCAGTTACCGCTGGAGAGGCTGCATCCAGAACTGTCGCTCGATTTGGAGCACATGTGTGGACACCGATCATGCACTTGTATGTGCTGACCTGCGGATGCGTTTTGGCGGACGTCCACGACGACACTGTGAGCGCACTGACACCAGCCAGCTGCAAAGCCCTGTTCTGCATTCCTGTCAAAGTACGCTGATATGTGAGTTGAGTAAGCGCTCACTGGAGACAATTGAAGGTCACTGGTCGCATCTTCACTAGACCTTACTAGTAGCAGGCAAATCCTCATGTGGTAGGTCTAATAGCCAACGTGGACATTGGGTCTCTGGAACTGATCGATGCTCGCCGACATATTCCGGCTAGAAGCGAACACAATGGGACTCACAAAGAGCTCCGGGCAAAACTCCGTGCTTGTCTGAAGAGAGACTGCGAATCTTGGTCTCTTCGTGCGTCAGAGATGGAAGTGGTCGCTGTCCTTGGTAACCATCGTAAGTTATTCCGGCTGATACGAGAAACGGGCAGCAGGAAACCTGGTGTTAGTGAAACTATATGTGACGAGAGTGGACAGCCTATCCACAATTTGTCAAAACGTTTGGAGCATTGCGCTGAGGATTTTGAGAAGTAATTTAATCGACCGGAATTGCTCGATTCCTCGCCGGCAACTGATCGCCCCACTCCGTGGGCTGTCTCTTTGGATCCGCCCTCTCGCTAAGAAGTCAAACGTGAGATCGCACTGTTGAAGTTGAACAAAGCCGCGGGACCAGATGATCATCTTCCAGCCCTCTTCAAACTCAGGGGCTCTGCTCTTGTTGATGATTTACATGAATTACTAGTGAAACTGTGGGAGCAGGAAACCGTCCCAACCGACTGGAGTCGTTCCGTTATTGTTCCCATCTTCAAAGAAGGCTCGCGTTCGGAATGCGGCAACCATAGAGGAATCAGTCCGATCTCCATCGCCTCCAAATTACTCGCCTCCATAATCCTTCACAGACTGACGGGCGCTCGTGAAAACCAGATTCGTGAGGAGCAAACCCGGTTTCGTTGGGGTCGTGGCTGCATTGAACACATCTTCACCTCACGTCAGTTGTTGGAGCATCATCAAACATAGTGGCGGCCCACTGTAGTCGTGTTCCACGACATCAAAGGTGCCTACGATTCGGTTGATCGATGTGCCTTTTGGAATTGTCTACTCAGGAAAGGTGTGCCCGAGAAATATGTAAATATTATCCGAGCATTATACGCGCGTAGCTCAGGCAGAGTAAGGGCTTACGGCAGGCTGTCGCCGCCCTTTAATATCTCCGGCGGCGTGAGACAAAGATGTCCGTTGTCATCTTTTCTCTTCAAGTTCGCTATTGACGAAGTAATGGAGATTGCACTTACAGGACATGACTTAGAAGGAGTGGAGCTACACCCAGAAGGAACTCTTGACTTGGAGGATGCAGACGACATTGCCCTCATCGGTGACAGCTCCCAGACGTGCCAAGCTGCACTGGACAGATTAGCACTGGCTGTCAGCCGCTTCGGGATTTGCTTTGCACCATCGAAGTGCAAAGCTTTCCTCCAAAATTGGCAGGGATCGCCTCCTACGCTGACCCTTGGTGGGGATCAGCTAGAAGTCGTTCAGAAATTCAATTACCTGGGAAGTTGTATCAGCGCCCTTGGGATTGAAGGTGAGATCCCGAACCGCATATCAAAAGCTCGAAGTGCTTTCGCTAACCTTCGCCACTTATGGCGCCCGCGCGACATCACTCTCGCCCTGAAGGGTAGAGTGTACAATGCAGCAGTACGTTGGACATTACTGTACGGTTGCGAAACCTGGCCCCTAAAAGCAGTGGACATAAAGAGGCTATTTATGTTCGACAACCGGTGCCTTCGTAATTTAGCTCACATTTAGTGGGAACACCGCGTGAGTAACGAGCGTGTTCGACGCCTTGTTTACGGCACAGGGAAAGGAAATGGACCGCTCAGCATCGTCATTTTACGCACCAAGCTCCGATGGCTCAACGACGTGTTGCGCATACCAGCCCACCGACTTCCGCGACGTGCGTTATTTGCTTGCCGGGGGTGTAGATGGAGGAAGAGGAGGGATGGCCAAGCGATGAGTTAGTCCAGAGGAATGAAGTCCCGCACTTCGGAGCTAGCCTCGGTTGGAGCGTCACGGCTCCCTGGTTGGGGTCCAAAAGACGATGAACACGTTTGGCTAGATACACTTGCAGACATGGCAAGGAGCCGACCTCAGTGAGGTTCGTGCTGTGAGTTTCTTTTTTCCTCCCCATCTCTTTTAGCCTACCCCTCTAACCACGATCTCATTTCGTAGCGTAATATAATTTTACATAATAATTTTTCTTGTTGTCTAGTAGCAGGCTGGTAGCTTACCGGAACGATGCCCATCCGTTGCTGGTAGCTCGGCTGGCATGCAACTGTTGTATTTGTATTGCGGCACAGTAGCTGAGGTCTTTCCCACCTCTAGCTAACGTGTATAATGATGATGATGATTGCCATGTACGAACTAGCCGAGCAGAGCTTTATGGATTCAGGACTGACATTACTTGGTGGAATGCTGCTCAAAAACCTACAACTAAAATGTACTTGCTTTGTCGACACTATTTGCGCGTGGCTCATCTAACTGACTAGGTATGAAACACTGAACAATGTTTAATTTACCCGTTCTTCCGGTGTGTCCCCGTGGATGGAATGACGTTAAGTAGAAACACTGAGAAACATGATAGCAGATTAAAGGCCATGAGAGGTGTACACGAAGATGACATAAATCGCCCATTGCTTCATGTAGGAGCACATACTTGAAAAGCAACACCTTGTCTATAGAACACACGAGCCCCGCATCCAACGGCTCTTGGACCCAAAAATCACGTGGTCGTCCAATTCCATGGTCGCCCACCAACTCTTAACGTAGTGCGCGGAGAGTAAACATTGTGAGACACTAACTCTCGCTACTGAAAACCAAAAGCAGGCGAGGCCACAGTGCCAAACCTGGCGGTGCATCGCACTCGACTCCAATCGGGTCAGAAAAAGATGTTCGGACTCTAACCATTAATTTCAGTTAACGAAGAAAACTACCGATTCATCCAACTA